ATAGCTCCTCCTCTTCTTGCCATAACAACTGCCGCTGCAACTTTTCTTCTAAGTGTTTCTTTGTTGTAATAAATTGGTTGACTTCTATCAATGAATGTCTTGACAACTCCTGGAACGTCTGCGTAATATGTTGGACTTCCAATAATTATTCCATCTGCCTCAATTATTTTCTGAAGCAACTCATCCATGACTGGATCATCTTTCCAACACTTTCCAGTTTTTTGACAGGCATAACATGCAACACAAGGTTTAATCTCTTTCTTTCCAAGTTGATAAATTTCCACTTCAATACCTTCTTTTTCTAATCCTTCTTTTACCCAACTCAACATAGTAAAAGTGTTTCCTTTTTCTCTTGGACTTCCATTAATCATAAATACTTTAATTGGTTTTGACATTCTTTTAATAATCAGTATTTGTTTGTAGTTATTTGCAGTTTAAACATACTGTTAGTTTTGTTTGACTTTTCTATCAATGTTTGTATTATGTTATAATTTCGTTTAGTCACGAAGTTTATTCTTTGGATGTCTCATTTATAGTTGTTTTGTGCTTGTCTAATCACTTTTCAATTTTATGAAAGGGTATTGTTACAATAAGGATTTGACTTAAATAAGGTTATACTTTAGATAATTTATTATTAACTTCATTGTATGAACCAATAATATAATATTATTAAATAAATGATTAATTTTAGTCAATTAATGGTAACTCCAGATTAAATTTTTGGAAAAAGAAAACAAGTTTTAAACAATTGTGTGGAATTGAAGTTGTTATATCTATAATTTGTTTATCAAGTCACAAACGTCTAATGTTTATTTTTTTTTTAAGGAATATCATTTTTATTTTGCCCTTTATGTTTTGTTTATATTTTAAACAATATACAAATTTAATTAAACAGTAACATTCATGAAGAAGAGATTAATACCAAAAAAAAAAACAAAAATCATAAAGTGAAAGAATGAAAGATTAATGATTCTTCTTAAAAAAAATTGTTATGTTATAAAAAAACATTTTTACTAATAAATCTAAAAAGTTTGAAGTTTATGAAATTTTTTCTAACATTAAGAAGTAATTATATTAAAATAGTTAAGTTATGAATTTAAAAGGTAATGAAATAAGAAATAAATAAATCTTTTTCAGTAGTATTTTACAAAGAAAAAATTTTTTAAACCACAGTAAAATAAAATTAAATAAATGCAAGAAAAATTCATTATATAAAACAAAAAATAATAAAATGAAGAACAATAAAGTAATAGTTTAGAATTGAACTTTTGCATTTAAACAAATAGACTCTAATTGGTTTTGACGATTGGTTAAAAACTTTCCTCTAAAAAATGAAGTAGATTGAGAAAGACGATCTGCATTAATGAGTTTAGCAAGTAAAAAGTCATGTAAAGCAGATTCATAATGATATTTTTCTTGAGTAATAAAAGGAGGAATAGGAGGAACATCATTTTTAACACATAAATTAATATCATATTTTGGTGTTAAAGAAAATGGTTGACTTAAGTCATATCCAATAATTAAAAATGCATGGTTTGTTAGAGACTTAAAAGAAGTAATATCTATAGGTTCAGGAATTGAATTATATTCTTTAAATATAATAACACAAATATCATTTTGAATAATTTTTTTTCTTTCAATTTGTTGATCCGTTTTAGCATTAAAAGGTAACATTGTAGAAACATGAAAAGCACATTCTATTTGGTCATTACTAAAAGTAGATACAATTATTTCTGTTCCAAAAGGAAATCCATTACAATTTAATCCACCACAATATCCTGGATAAGTTTTCATGTCAACTCGTTCTCCTAATAATTTTAAGAATTGTTCAAAATAAGGACTTGCCTCTTTATTATTATAAAATTCGTTTTCTGTAAGTTGACCCAATGTTCCATATAACACTCCAAATTTAAATTTTTCTGAAACTGTTTGATTTTCTAATTTAGTTAATGCAGTATATAACGTACGAGAATGAATTGGGGATAATGTTTTTCCATTATAACCCAATTCTTTTAATATTTGAATATCAGTAATATTTCCAGGATATTCTTTTCTTAAATCACCTTTTTTATTTCTAATAATTATTTTTCGTTTTTGTGTAGATAAATCAAAAGATTCTCTTGTAAATCTTGGACTAAGAGAAGAAGATTTTAATAAACTTTCGGTCATTGAAACGACCAAAACATCTCCTTGAATAGGGACTATATAATTAATATGTTTTTTATAATCAAAATATTTTTCATAATATTTAATACAAAGAGTAGGATCATGAGTGTTATAATATTCTAATTCTTTATGAGTATGACTACAACAATTTGAATAATTTTCTAAATGATATCCAACAGGAAATGTTGAAATATCAATTAAAGCAATTTTATCAGGATTAACAATTTTAAGCCATTTTTCTTGTGGATATTTTATTGTTTCAAATGTTTCTTGAAGAGTTTTGATTTGTAATTCACTCATTTTATCAATTAAAAATGAAGAATTTAAGATATCTTTTAATTCTAATTCAAAATGATATTCTTCAGCTATTTTCATAACATCTTTTCCATAAAATGTTAAATTTAAAAGAGCATGATGTTGTAATAAAATTCTTATAGCATCTTTATTTCTTTTTTTAATAGCATAATATAAAGGAAAATCTTCAGTCATTGTTTGAACATTTACATCTGCTTCATTTTTACAAAGAATTTTCATAGCATCAATATTCATAGATGCATTACATAAGGCAATTAAAGCAGTATCTCCTTTACTTGATTTTAAATTAACAAACTCTTTATTATTTTCTCCGTCTGGTAAAAATCTATTTAAAATTGGTAAAAATTGTTCAATATTTGTTTGTCTACATAAATAATGTAATGGTGTTCTGTGTTGAACATTTCTTGCTTTTTTATCAGCTCCAGAATCTAATAATGCATTAATTACATTTGCATTAATTGTTTGTCCTGATAATGCAATATGTAATGGTGTATATCTAAACTTGTCTGCTGCATTGACATATGCACCTTTTGCTAATAACCAATTAACCATTTCAACTAATCCATTTTGAACACAATAATGTAATAATGTTTTTCCATTTTCATCAGAATCATTTGGTCCATATTTTCTAACATATGCCATCATTGGTTGTTCGATTTGTGATCGTGTAACACTTCCATGGAATAATTTAGTCATTTCTGTAAATTCTTTTCTTGAATTTTTTAAAGGAGTATATGCAAACCAAAGAAATAAAGTTCCTTTTCCTGCTGGTCTATCTAATTTAATAGTAAACCCATCATTTGTTCTCTATAAAATCAGTGAATTTTACTATATGAATTAGATATAATAGTAGAAAAAACATATTTGTTAGACATGAAGAAATTAAATAATTTAAACTGATAAATCTCTTCAATATAAAAAAGTATAAAAAATGAATTGCACAAACATCTACTATACTGTTTGTTATTTTTGTACCATTTCCATGACTTGTTGCTTTAAATACAAAAAGAGTTGGTTCAATTTCAAATATTTTAGGATATAAAACAACAAATGATAAATTCCCATTACTTGGATCAACTAATCCACTTTGAAACTGTTCTCCACATAATGGAAAATTACTTGCATAATAACTAAATTCTTTCATAAATTGTATTTTAGAGCTTTCTTCTATCTCTATTTTTTCTTTTTTCAAACGTTCGATTTCTAATTTTAATTTTGTTACTTCATCTTCATATGATAAAGATTGTCGTGATGAAACTGTAGCAGATTGTTCTGATATATTTGAACTTTGAAATAAATCTGGTAATTGATTATTTACTGATTCTGAACGTTCAATCTGGATAGTGAGTGGTTCACTTGAATTCATCTAAGAATATTACTTTATCAAAACTTCTTTTTCTTATTTTTCTCCTTTTTAAAACTAGTTTTTTATTAACTTCAAACTATTTCTTCTTTCCATATTTTTCGCTTTTTTTATAATTATGTTTTATATAACGATTATTAAAATATTTGAATTACTTAAATTTTTTTTAATAAACTTATTCTTCTTCGTTGTGTTGTGTGTTGGAAATTCTTTCTCTTTTCTCAAAATAAAAAATAAAAAAATTGAATTAATTTTACAATAACTCTTATTTAAATGCAATTTGTGTCAAAATAAACAAAATAAAAATTCTCTTTTTATTTTTAGAAATTAAAGTAAAAAATCAAATATTTTAGAAACAAAAGATTAAATACAAATTAGAATTTTAAAAACTTAATCTTTAAATATTTCTTTATATATATATATATTTTTTTTTTCAAAAAATGAACAGTTTGTTTAATAAATAACCAATAACAAATAATAAAATATCTTTCGTTCATATTATAAACATACATATGTTATAAAATTGTTTTTATGAATTTTATTGTAATTTATTTATATCATCATTATATAAAACAATTCATTCCATCATATTATTTTTAGTTTATTTAATATTTTTATAAACAAATTTTATCTTATTGTTTTCAATTAAATTATTTTATTGTTACAGAAAAAAAAAGCAGTTTTATTTTTTTTTATAGTTTTCCAATTACAATATTTCATTCTCTTAGTCATATATATTCTTTGTTTAGTCACTAGTTTGGAACTTTCTTATTGTTTGTTCTTTTTATTCATTAATACATTATTATCGTTTACTGAATTATATTTATGACATAAAAAGAAAATACATTATATTACATTTGTGTAAGTTATTAGACATTTATATCTACTTATTAAATAATATATTTTTATTATTGTCTTTAAAAAGATAAAAAGTAATTTAAAGCTTTTCTATTACATAGGAGATAGTACTCAAAATCTTTGTTGAAATAAACAAAGAATCATTGAAGTTGTTTTATCTTGTTTAAGTAAATAATATGAAAATCCATTAATTTAAAAAATTAACAAATAAATTTTGAAAAACATAAAAATAAACTTAAAAAAAAAGAAAAACTTGAAATGGTTTTATATTTTTTTTAGCCTTTATAATGTTGTTTTTGATGTTGATTTTAGCACTTTCAGTAAATGCACAACTTAATGACAAAACAAATCAGGAAATCAAAAAGTCACTTGCAGATACGTTGTTTGGAAAAGAAAAAAAATGTCCACAAACGGTTAAACAAGAAAAAAATACTACTACTGCTTCAGTTCAATTTGATAAATTAATAATTAATGGTAATCTTACTAATATCAATGAACATTTTAAAAACCTTCGGGTTATCCTTCAGGCAGAAGCTCATAACACAGCTCTTATGAAAAGAACTGGTTACAGACAATGTAATTCAAATAAAATGATGAAAAATGGAAAAGGAAAAGTTTGTAAAAGTTTATTTATGAAATATTTAAGACAACAACCAAACTGGAACATTAAAGTTGAAACAAAAGTTCTTGGTAACTCTTTGTGTTTGAAAGACCTTTCTAAATTAACTGAACAAGAAAAGACTAAACTTGCACAAGATTTAATGAGTGATACATCTAATGTCAAACAAGATACTTTAGAACAAATTCTTGCTGAGTTTTAATTCACATAACCTAATTAAGTAAAGTTGCCCTTTCGTTTTGGAGTTGAGAAATAAAAATGAAATCAAAAATAGAGAATTAGTCATAAGCCTTTATCTTTTCATTGCGAAAAACAATCTCAACATATTATTTAAAGTGAAAAAGTAAATAGGAAGAAATATAGTTCTTTCTCCGCAAAAATGTTGGTCAGTTATAGGTATGAAAAATTAATATTTCTTTCATTCTTTGGTTTTGTTGGGTTGTTGTTTCTTGCAACATTATTCTTTGGTACTACTCAACCTCCACCTGACATCCGAATGAAAGTCACTCCAAATGGTAAACGAGATATTGGAGTTAACCAATATCTTTCAAATATAAACCATTGGATGTCGTCATCATTTTATACTATTGCTTTACTTTCAATATCTTCAATGAAACCAGAAACATTTGAATCAAATGAACATTTAAAATTTATAACTATTCAAGATAAGTTTAAACCAAATGAATGGTGGGCAAAGAATGGATATCTTGTTTCTTTACATGACTTTGGTTATTTACAAGAAGAAATTGAATTTGATGATTACAAAGAAAAAATTTCATTGAACTGGGCTTTTAATGAAAGACTAAAATATATTCCAGATGAAGTTGACTTTGTCTTTGTTACATCACTACTTGACCCTGAATTAAATAAAACACAAGTTGAAATGACTCTTCACTATTATTTTGACCAAATCAATCAATCCATTGATGACATTTGTTTACTTGGAATAAATAAAAAAAGTACAAATGAAATTAAGAAAGTATATGCTAAATGGCCATCAGTTCAATTTCAAGGAATATCTGGATTAATTATTCCACGAAATAGCATTCGAGGAATTAAAAGGATGTTATATTCAAGTCATTACTTGAATTCATTTGAACTACTTATTCAACACTATTGTGAGGTAGATGAAAAGCCTATTCTCCTTTCACCATTATACACATTTTTGCCAGAGGAATTCTAAAGAACATATTATGAACTATTAGACAAAGATAATTGAGAGGTTTTTGATACTCTTTATTTGAAAAAAAAAATGAAGAGAGTAATGCCTAAAATTAAACTTATTTGTATTATAATCACAAGAATAATTTATCCAACACTGACTTTTATTTTATCAATAATAATTAATCGAAAAATATAAACATTTTTATTCAATGCTTCAGAAAGTCAGTAACTTATTAGAATAACATTATATAACAAACTGTATTTAAAATTTATGCTAGGTACAAATAAATAGTGTTTAATTATAATAAAATTACCTTTCATAAATACGTAACAAATCTGAAGATAACAAAAAGTTTTATGACTTTCTTAATGACTTAGTCATAACAATCTTAACTCATAAAAATTCTAAATTAAACATGTAACGATGTCACTATTTAAACAGTGAATTTGTTTGATGAAGACATATACTACACACTACATTTACTTTAAAAAAAGTAATTCAGAGAAATAAAAATGTTAACCCCTAAACTACAACAATCCTATTACTTATTTACTAACAACATATTATAAAGTCAATAATAAAAAATAATTAATGGTTTTATTCTTTTCAAAAATGGCACAACAAACAAAGAAATATTGAATTACTTGGGTATATAAAATGATTTTATTTATCCATCAAATAAAATTTACATATAATATATCCAACGAGTTGATAATGAAAAATACACTAAACTGTATTAATATTTAAATTTCATTATTAATACTATTTCAAAAGTTATTCAATAAAAATTTGATGATGAACCACTTTTTTATAACTCAGAACTATTTTATTTTCTGATGTAGAATAAATAAAATTATATTGTTTGAAATGACTAAATATTTGACTACTATAAGTTTGTCTTTCTCTTTAACGAAAAATAATCCTTATTAATTTAGACAAACGCCTTTAACCTTCACCTTTGACTTAATCACATTTTTTTTATTAAACTCAAGTATTGATTCGAAGAATGAAATATAATCATTACATATTTCTTTATTAGGGTGTCTTTCTAATATATTTTTAACTACAACATTCTAAAAACAATAAAAATAAATACTTATTCATTTGTTTTTTTTTTCTCAAAACAACAACACTTAAATTATTATAATAAAATTACAATAGTCTATTTGAAAAAAAAACGAAATAGATCATAATGAATAATTTATTAAAAACGATATACTAACAAGTGATCTAAAAATATTTTCATGGTTTTTATACAAAGAAACATGATGAAATTTTACATGTTCTATTTTAAGACAAATAAATTCTTGAATAAAAATACATAGCATGAATTACAAACTCTTATGTCCTTGTTGAATATAGTCTAGAAGAATAGAAATAAGCATCGTATCATTCTTTTTGAATGTAACAAATTGTTTATTATCAACACGAGACAGTATTTCTGAATTAATGACTGAGCCTACATGGTCAATATCCTTTCTTTTAAAACAAAAGTAATTAAAATAAATAGACTCTATATAGTCAATAACCAGTGAGTTGTTTTTACCGTTAGAAAATTTTTTTTGAAATTTTACCCCAAGTTCCTCAACAATATCAAAAAGTAAATGAACTGATTCTGTTGTTCTATTTTTCTTCATTCGAGAAAGTGCAGTTTCCTCCAATACTCCATTTGCGATATCCATTTTATATATTTCATGAACCCTTTTATCAATTATATTTTCAAAATCAACTTTGTCGGAATCATTGAATTGTATTGTTTCAATTGGAAAGAAAGGCTTTGATACAGAAGCCTTTCCTGCAGGTTTCCTTATTGTAATTTCTGCATATGTACAAAGTATTGCAATACAAAGAGACTCATTAAAAACTATCTCATTTCTTTTATCTTTATAGCAATAAAGTACTTTCCCTTTCGATCGCATTTAACCTCGTTTAAACCTTTAATTATTTCTTAGTTTCTATGACTTATTCTTGTTTTATTCAAAAATTATAATTTGAAAACTTTCTTTCGTATTATATCAAAAATAACTTCTTGTTTTTTCTTTCCTGACTAATTAATGTTTGACTATCTTTTCCTTTGAATTTTTCTTTTTTATTTGAAGAAACAAACAAACAAAAATAGTTTTACTTTTTTTGAAATAAAAATATTGAATTAATCAATTCTTTCGTAAAATAACATAAAAGCATTATTTGTCACAACGTGGTTGGTATTAAGCCTTGTTACAGTATCATCATTAAAAACAAACCAATCTGAACCACATCTACAATAAGAATAATAATGTCCACCATTTAATGTCCCTCTATGATTCTATTCTAAAGTTAATTTGTTTATTGAAAATAAGTCTAACAATACTATAAATAAAAAAAAATAGACAAACCACAACAGAATTTAATCGGTATTTCCCTACCATTCCAAATTGATGAAGATCAATTTCAAGCGGAAAATAAACAAGAGAATTATCTTTTACTACACTTAAATGTTCTGTGTATCTAAACCGTTTTAATTGAATAACAAGAACATTTGGAGGATATTCAATAATACATTTTTGTCTGGCATTAACTTTTTTTCCACACTGACTACATTTCCATTCATTTCCTTTACCTAAAATATTTTCTTTAAAAAAGTCATTTAAACACCACTCTAATGATATACCATTTGGATTTAATATATTTTGGCTTGGCCCTTCTTCTCTTTCCATTCTTCCAAATTTCTCAATATCCTCTTCTTCCCCTTTGAATGTTAACAACCACCCCTTCTTTACTTTTTCTTCATTAAAAGGTTTTTCAACACCAAAAACACTCAAACGTTCTTTCAATTTGTCTTTCTCAACTAGTATTGGAATAAGTTGTCTTCTCAATTCTCCTCTAACATTGACCTGAATATAAATAAGTTTAGGTCTTTCTATTTTTTCAAATGCAAGTAACTTTCTTGCTCCTCTAAGGTCAAGTGCTTGAGGAACATTTTCAAAGTCAACAGGAATAATCTTTCCACATTCACACCAAATGCCATTAATTTTTTTTTGAACTTTTGCTTCAATCCTTTCTTTTAATTCTTTCATATTTGGTCGAATTTCAGTCCAAATATAAAAGAGTTTAGGAAGTCCTTCTTTACCAATAAAAACTACAGGAAAATATCCATCTACCTCCTTAGGTAAAGGAATATCAATTGGTAATGTTGCAAAAGGATTATGATTATCAGAATAATTACCACAATCACATAGAGTTCTTTTTAATAACATACCAAAGAATAATTCACTAATAACACTTTGATTATTTCGTACATATTTTTCAAAAGCACTACAACCCATTGATATTTTAATTCGGTTTTCTTTTTGCAAATAACCATCATTTGTAATATTGTCTTTTATCTTCAAAAAGTTTTCTGAATTTTTTGATAGTGTTAATACCATTTCTTTTGACATTTCATGTTTTTGTTCATTTATTTCGTTTCTTTCATTATTCTCTTCAGAGTCAGGTGTTTCTTGTATTGTTACAGAACGAACAAGAGGATTATCTTCCTCTAATTTTATTGTTACAAACTCATCTCTCTTTATTAAGGGAGATCCTTCATGAATTTCTGTCTTTTCATTTGGAGCAATTTTTTCTGGAATTTCTAATACTAAAGGTTTTGTTGGTATTTTTGTTTTAGCAATCTCAGGTATTCCAACTTGATGGTCATTGATTTTAATGGGAAGAATAGGCAAATCGTCTTTAGGTAGTGAGATAGGAATTCCAGATTGAGTCCCTCTCATTTCTTTATCAAGCTCATCCAACAAAAATAAAAAGAATTCTGACGCATCATTTTGGTTATTTCCTTTAAACATTATATTTTTTTCTCCCATAATTTCTTTAATTCCTCTAGGTGTACAAATAGCATAATCACCACAAAACATAGCTTGGATAAGAGCAATAAGAGCAATAGAAATTTTATTGTGATACTGTGTTTCATTACCAGGTGCAATGTCTTTACGTATGAGACTATCTTGAGTTAAACAGAAATTTTGAAATAATTTAGAATGAGCAATACTTTGTAAAATACAATTCATATAACATGTATTCCCTAAGTTATATAACCCACACACCCCATTCGGTAATTTTTTTGTTGTTTTTTTATGATTTTGACGAGTGAAGAAACGATAAATAAAGCTCATTCAAATATTTTAAGTTCTTTTATATCTTCTTTTTATTGTTAAGATTTTTATTAATTTTTCTTTCACTTCATGATAATTTCAAATAAAATTTATGACTTTTCAAAACACTATCTCTTATTATGACAACTAATAATTTACAAAGGATAAATGTCCTAATATCTTAAGTTCATGCCAAACAAACCTACTCATGAAATACTTTAACAACTAAATTATTTATATTAGATTCTTGAAAAAGAAACGAATAATTCTATTATTGTGTTGATTAAAAATGTTATATAAAACTAAAAATATATTTATAGAATTAATGTTAATTAAAACATTTAATAAAATAAATTAAAATGAAATATTAAAATTGTAAATTACTTTAAAATAAAAATTAGTTAATTAAGTGTTAATAGAATTTTCATATATTCTTCCAAGCTTAGGAGAGATTAATCACATCCATGAGTTGTTTTTAAAAAGAGTCATTTCTTTGTTTAATTTATTCTTTAGGTTTTTCTTGGAGTATGAGAAATGCACTTCTTTGTTTTATTTCTTCCTATTAATTTCTTCTCATCCTTCTTCTGCTTATTCCTTCTTTTTAACCTTTTGTTTATTTTCTGCCTTAATTTTAAATAATTTCATTTCCTCCTTTTTATTTTATGAAAAAGAGAAGAAAACATTTCATTACTACTATATTATTATGTTTAATTTTCTTTTATTCTCAACTACATGTTATCAAATCATTTTCCTTAGTTAATACTTCCATATTTATTTCTTAATTTCTTTATTAATAAATATCCATTCTTATAATATAATATGTAATATTCAACCATAATAATTTTCTACACCATTTGCAGCATTAACCCATACATTTTTAATTCAAAATCACCATAATAATCAAATAAAAACTAATAGAGTCGAAGCTTAATTTTGTATTAGGGTTTGTGTGTTGTGTTTCAGACATGACAAAAAATTAAAAAGAATAAAAACTAAAATAAAAAATATATAACAAATAAGTTAAATTGGTTATGGACGAAGTGTTGTTAGTAAAGAAATTAGTTGAAGACGCCATTGTTCCAACAAGAGGATCAAAGTGTGCTGCAGGAATTGATTTATATTCTAATACAAATTTTATAATTCAACCACATGAAAGGTTTTTAGTTTCAACAGGAGTCTCAGTTCAAATACCACACCAGTGTTATGGGAGAATAGCTCCACGGTCATCACTAGCACTCAAATATGGAATTGATGTTGGTGCTGGTGTTATTGATGAAGACTATAGAGGTGAAATAAAAGTAATTTTGTTTAATCACTCAAATGAAATATTTAATGGTAGAAAAGGTGACAGAATAGCACAACTTATTATTGAAAGAATTTCATATTGTAGAATTTCAGAAGTAAAAGAATTAAATACAACTGATAGAGGAACAAATGGGTTTGGTTCTACAGGTAAATAAATGTTTTATTCAATAACTGAAAAAATGAATTTAGAATAAAGAATGTTAATTACTGAGTTTCTGTTATATTTTCTTTTACTTCTTCATTAGACTCTTTCTTTTGTTTAATTTCTTCAACAATAATTTTCATTCCAGAATCATAAGCTCTTAAATGTTCTTTAGCAGATAATTGAGCATTCTTTTGAACAACACTTCTAAATCTTTTCATTAATTCATCAGCTCTTTGTTTCTTTTCTAATTCAATTTGTTCTTTCTTTCGTTCATCTTCTTCTTTCATTGTTTTTAAACATTCATTGAATTTACTTTCAACTTCTTTAGCCATTTCTGGTTTAATAATATTTGTTGGTTGTGGTCTCCATAATAATCCAGCAAAATTAGTTTTATATGTTTCAAATTGTAAATTTCCAAAACAGTCATATAACATAAATCCATTCTTTGCATGTGGAGAATAAAGATATGAACGTACTGCACCAAGGAATAATCCCATTGGATCCCAACAAATATAACTCATATTTTCAATTGGAACTTTTTTGTATAATTTCATTCTGTCTGTGTTGTAGAAATATAAGTATGGTTCTGATGTACTAATTCCACTCACTACCATAAATTGCCCATTTGGTGAATAAGAGAATGACTTAGCTTCAATATTAGGAAGTGAAGAAATTAATTTAGTTTCATTACTACTAATATCATAAATATGTAATGTTGGGAATAATGAATCTCCTTTCTTACTATGTTGATATGCCATAATACCAAATTGCATTTTTATTGGATTAACACTCATAAAATGAGGTGTAGCATTTAATTCATTCATAGATGCAGTAATTGTTTTATCTAATGTAAATACTAAAACAGCTGTTTTCTTATTTTTATTGCATTGAACAACTAATTTCTTTCCTGATGAATGCCATCCAAACTCTGCTCCTTTTAATGAAAATACTTTATGTTTAAAAATAATTTCTTGTTTATCAACATCATAAAAGTAGAAATGTGCTTGTTCATTAGTTTTTTGAAGTGGTTCATGATATGCAACAATAATATTTGCTTTAGGACTCCAACTAATTTTATTAATTGAACTTTCAAATGTAACTAATTTATTACTTAATAATTGAATTGTTGGTGTAGTATATATTTCAATTGAATTAGAATCAACTTCACTAATTCTGGCTAAATATTTTTCATTATAACTAAATTGAACAAAGTCTTGACCAATTGGTGTTAAAGTTTTTTCTTTTTTTAATGTTTCTGTCATTCTTTTTAAACTATTTGCTTTTAAATCAAAGAATTTAATACCTTTTGTAAATCTTCTATCCCAAACAATAATATGTCTATTAAAAGGTGCAGTAGCTGAGTATGTAGCAATAAATGTATCATGTGGTGAAATAGTAACATGTGTTAATCCTGGATGTGGGAATTGGAATTTCTTTTTACAGTCCGGTTGAACTACAATTAATCCATGTTCAGTAATTGAATATAAAAATGTACCTGATGGTGAAAATGAACAATTAGATGATATAAATGGTTGTTCTTCTTGCATTGTTATTTCTTTTGGAATGCTTGGATTATACCATCCTAATGAAACAGTCTTTCCATATTGGAATGTTGCAACACATTCACTTCCTTCAGTGTATTTATCTTCTTTAAGCCATCCTTTAAAATCAGTAACTTCAATTGGATGAAAGACTAATGGTGTATATTCATCATTTTCTTTTAAGATTTCATCAATCTCTTTTTTAGTATAAAATTTTAATGTGTTTTTATTATCGAATTTCAATTCAACAAATCTTGTTTTAAATTTAATTGCTGCTTCATCATCTTTAAAATCAATAAACCCAATTCCTGTAGTTTTTTGACTTGTTTCATCAACAAAAACTTGTACATTATTTGGTTGGTCTGATAATTCTGCTCCATTCTTTACTAATACCATTCTTTTTAAGAATAACGTTAATTTAGGAACTGAAGCAACAGGAATTCCTACAGGAAGTCCATCACAAATAAGTACAGAAGATTGTGTAATTTTAGAGGTTTTAGTTGAAGCACTCATCAATGAATTAAATTTTCTTTTTATTTTTTATTAACAACCCTTGTTATTTACTTTTAGTTATTTTATAGTTTATTTATAATTTATTGAGTATTTCTTTTTTTTTTCTTTCTTTGTTTATCTTTCTAATTCAATTTGTTTCAAATGAAATTGAAGATAAACATATAAGAATTAACATATGACCTTCTAATGTTGTTAATAAAACAATAAATCCAGTTAAAACTTCAAAAGAAAAAGAAACAAGAATATTTTGTAAATTAAAAACATAAGTTTAAAAAACCAACTCACTTATTTCTTTTCTGGCAATAATTGTTTCTTTGCAATATCCATCATATCATTCATGTCAGTTTCTGGTAATGGACAAGGATGAATATTCCATACATTAGCTGCATATTCTTTCATAGATCTATCAGATGAGAATTTACCCATCTTAGATACACACATAACACATTTATGATTCCATTCTTGTGGTTTTTTCCAAGTAGCATCAACTTTCATTTGTGCTTCAAGGTATGAAGCAAAGTCATGTGCAACTAAATAATAGTCATTACCACCCCAGAATTGTCCAATAAGTTTATTAAACCAATCAGCAGCTCCAAACATACCTCCAGAAATAGCTTTTAAGACATCATAAAGTCTTTCATCAATATAGCTTGTTCCTTGTTGTCTAATTAATTCAACTTCATTCTTCTTAGCTCCAAACATAAACATATTTTCTTCTCCAATCTCTTCTGCAATTTCAACATTAGCACCATCCCATGTACCAATAATAAGTCCTCCATTCATACAGAATTTCATACATGATGTTCCTGATGCTTCATATCCAGCAGTTGAGATTTGTTCATTAATATCATTTGCTGGAATAATAACTTCTGCTAATGAAACACTATAATTTGGAATGAAAACAATCTTTAACATATTATCTATAGTTTTATCATTATTAACTATATCAGCAACTGAGTTAA